ATATCTATATCTATATCTATATCATCAACAGTATTGTCCACGAGTTCGGGGTTCGGGGTTGCATGACACGAAGTTAGCTCTGCTCTGGCTATACCCCAAACCCAACATCCTAAAACCCCAAACCCGACACCACCAGACTCAAACCCCCAAACCGGAAGACCAAAGCACCACACCTAAAACGCATGAACTACGGACTCAAGCCCTGCTAAACCGTAAATCCTCCAACAGGTCTTAGCGAAGTAAATCTCGTCCCCCGGGAACTTTGATGATTCTCTTCGCGCTGCGGTGGATGCTGCTGAAATGATGATGTGGTGCTTTCCTTCTGGTGATGGCGGCGGCGGTGGTGGTGGTGGTTCTGGTTGTTGGTAGTTGGTGGGAGGCGGAGGAGGAGGAGGAGACAACTTAGGAGCTTTAGAAAAGACCTTTCTGGATGAGCTCAAGGCTTTGCTGTTTGGAGTTCAGGGTAGGGCGAAGCGACAGTCAAGCCGGGTGCCAGGACCCACCGTTGCCACCTGGGCTGCAATAGTCAAGTCCTCTTGAAATCAGACTTGACATGCCCTAACCCTACACCCTGAGTTAAAGCCCCAAGCCCCTTGGTCCCTTCAGCCTGGAACATCCTGACAAAACGAGGTGCCTGGGAAGATTCTCTTGGGTAGGCTTTCAAAAGTTCCGCAGATTTTTGGTACTTCGACGTGGCTGCTTCCCGGTTCACGATGTTCGTTGGTTAGTGGCATCTATTAGGGTGTTCTGGCAGCTGCTTGGAGGATCATGGGACTTGGTAAGTAAGGTTGTAAGTACCTAAATTGGGGTCGTACCTTAAACCCTAAACACCTAAACACCTAAACACCTAAACACCCAAACCATAAACCCCAAACCGTTGACAACCTCGACATGTCCCTTCTGGCCGAAGGGGTTAGTGTGGGAAGCTGCTCTGCGTGGGTTTAGGGCTCAGTTTTTAAGGGTTCTGCAGCTTTTTTTTAGGAGGACGGGGGAGGGGGATTTACATTGATACCAAAGACACAAAGCCGTCAGATCCCGCAACCTTGAAGCCTCACCCAACCTTCACCAAAGCCCAGAGCCCGAAGCCCTAGCCCTTCAAGCCGTGCCCTAAACCCTAAATCCTAAACCCTAGCCCTACGACCCTGGCACCCCGAGCCCCAGCCCCACGCGACTGAACTGCGGTTTAGGGCTCTAGGCCCGAGGCTTCGGCTGCAGGGCTTATAGGGTTTTCGGGCTCTTGGGGCTCATGGGGCTTGGGGCCCACATTTTTTGTTATCTGTAGACCTTAAACCCTAAACCCTAGCTCTAGATGCCGCTGCAAAGACCGAGCACCCAGAACCTATTATCTTCCACCAAGGAGCCGAAACAGCAAAACAGCCCTCTAGGCCCCACTGTTGATGATATAAATCCTGCATGACCTTAAGGACCCTAAGCAGGATTTATATCATCAACCGTAGTCGAAGAAGCCGAAAGGAAAGAGGAAACGAAAGCCCGATCTGGCTGACTCTGAGGGGCGCCGCAGTCGTGGCCTTCACACCACTCCGACTCCAGTGGGGGGCTCTTCCATCAGAGAGGCTTGTTCTTGTTTAATATGATAGGATGATGCTGGTAACTTGGTGACTTTACGAAACATCAGCGCACTAATGCCGAAGCAGCCCGGGTTTAGAACAACATGTTCTCGGATCGAGTTGAGAGTGGGTGCCTTGGCTTGATGCTCAGTGGCTCGAGCGATTGGGATTTCGTCATCTGAAAGCCTTTGGAAGGCTCCATCCTAAACCCTAAACCCTAAACCCTAAACCGTAGCCATTTTGGCTCAAGGCCCGGAGGCAGCTGCGCGCGTCTGTGCCGAACTGGGGCGTACGAGGTCCGGGGCAAGCTTCTGCTGAAGATTGCGCAGGTCGGCGGGTGATCGTCTCATCGGGCTCCTCGGACGGTGCGATTCGCCGCAAGGTCTCGGTGCAAAGTGCGGGGGGCGATGGCCCTGCGCCTAGGATTGCCCAACGAGGTCCCGGTTCCCTCAGACCCCTTCGAGGATGCGGAGCAAGGGAATGACAAGAGTCCGGCGAAAAGGCCGCGAGGGGCGGGGATGGGAGTGAAGATTCCGCCGGTGGCCGGTGGGGTGACCCTTGATGCAATCCAAGGACTCCTTGCTCAGCAGAGTGCGACACTTATGGAGGCGCAGCGAGCTACCATGGCCGAACTAGAGGTGCGACAAAATGCCCGCTTTCAGACGGTCGAGAAGGGCCTGGTTGAGCAGAGGCATATCTCCAAGGACTTGAAGACCTCGATCCTTGACCTGGAAGATAGGTTGGCTAAGGTTGAGAAGGCTGCAAGGGATGGCCCGGTGGTGCAGCCGGCGCAGGACCCTCGTAGGCTGACCCTCGTCTTCGGTGGATGGGCTACTCAGACAAGGCGTCACATCATTTTGCACCAGCTCAAACAGGCCGTTTCCCAGCTGGACCTGCAGAGGTCCTTTGACTCGGCCCCCTTTACTACAGGGAGATCGGTGGCTTTGTGCAACTTCGAGCAGAGACCGGGAGAAAATTTGGGTGACACAAGGGCGAGGATGATGACGATCATCACAGCCATTAACTCTGCAAATGCGCATCTCGATGGGGGGGAGAAAGCGCTGTGGTGCTCCTTTAGCCGAACCCCGCAGGAGAGAGGCAAGGCTGCCCTTCCTGGGTTTGTGAAGCGTATGGTTATGACCCACAAGCCTGACAGGAAGGATGACTTGGACATCGAGTACTACAGTGGCAAGTCGTGGATCGACGAAACTCAGCTCTCGGGCTTGGGGGACGCTCCGATTTCCCCGGGGGTGATTAAAGTCGAGACCAGAGCTGGACCAGGATGGATCGACGCCGAAGGCTTGGCCCTGAAGACCGGGGTTGCGAAGGTGAACATTCAGCAGATGGTCGAAGGGCATAAATTCTGACAGGAAACGCAGCCTCTGTCTGGAATTCGTGTGCTGAACTGGAATGTTGGGGGGGCGGCCTTAGGTGACCTCCCTAAAGCTCTCGGTGAGGCCATGGGATGCAAGCTTCGAGATGATGATATTGTTATTCTTCAAGAGATGCCTCGGGCAGATGCGGGCTGGCAAAGCCAGCTCTTCGGAAGTCTCAGTGTGACCTCGCATAGGGAAGAAAACCAGTGGAGAGGGACAGGGGTCGCGGTTTCGGGCAAATCGTGGACGGTTATGAGGAAGATAAGGTCGGAAAACGGAGTGTGGTGTCGACTTCGCCACCTCTCCCTTGGTCAGGAGCTGTGGGTTGGGTCGCTCTACGTCAAGCCGGATTGCAACCAGGCCGAACATGAACGTAGGGTTCAGCAGCATCTGGAGAGCCTCCCCGCCACGCACCTTCCCGCTGTTCTAGGAAGCGACCTGAACTCCCCATTTTCCTGGAACCTGATGGAGGATCAGGGTCTTCAGGCAATCGCGAAGACCGGGAAGAGCAACCAGTTCCTGACCCAGTTCGCATCCAGGGGTTTAGAGTTGATCCCACCCGACATGTCTCAGGCGGAGGTACCAACAAGTCGGCCCCGGCAGCAGGACAGGCGGGGGCGACTCATCGACTCCATTGCTGGCGCCCGTGTCACTTCCAGGAAAACCAGTGTCCATGTGGGTAGCCACAAGGTACTCGGTACTGATCATGAGCTCCTGTCGACCGAGTTGCTGTTTGGGGGCTTGAGAAGTCGCAGAAGACCAGACACTAAGCCGAGAGTGGTGGCGAAAGAGATTCCCCCTATCCTTGATGTGAACCAACAGGAAATGACGAGGCTGGCCAGGGAGCACACCAAGGTCAAAGGCGGAAGGGGATATCGGGATCCTCCCTCGGTAAAGGCCTTGTTCGACATGGCTAGGTTCAGCCGCGAAGCGGAGGATTGGAAGAAGGCCTTCGCGGAAAGAAGGAAGGAGAAGAGAAACCACCATGAGAGGCAGGTGCAGGAAGTGGCGCAGGGAGACTGGTCAGGGTTTAGAGGCCTCAAGAAAAAAAGGGCAGGTGACTGGGAGTGCCATTTTGCGGAGTGTCAAGATGGGGACCCACACAAAAGTATTCATGACCACCTTGAGGGGATCTACGGTGACACACCTCCAGACCTCACGGACTTTGAGCCAGAGGGATGCTTCGAACCCATTCGACCGGAAGAACTGCACGAGGCGGTCCGACAGGGCAAACGAGGTAAAAGTGTCGGGGAGGATGGGACTTCCCTGGAGTTGATTGAGGGCATCCTCGTGGCAGAAGGGGGCGAGAGCGCCATCCTCAACTGGTTTAGCGACATCCTCGAATCGGGGTGCATGCCTGATGACTGGTTCACAGCCCTTATGATAATTTTGCCAAAAGTTGCCCAGCCGGAGAAGCCCAAGCAATTGAGACCCATATGTATGTCCTCGGCAGTCTCTAAGGTGTTCTGCAGAGTGCTGTTGAACAGGGCGAAACCCTTGATGCGTCCCATTGGGTCTACTCAGTGCTCTGGACCAGGAAAGCAGTCCACCGATTACATCCATGCAGTCCAAAAACTTTTTGGTCTGGAACGCGAGTGGAAGTTCGGTTTATGTTTCCTGAAAGTTGACCTGGAAAAAGCCTTTGACTGCGTATCGAAGGAGTCCCTGATGGCGTACATTAAGTCTAAGATTGGGCGGAGCTTCGAAGCGAGATGCTGGCAAAAACTTCTTAGAACCTCGGAAGCACACCTCCACACCGCATGGGGGGACTCCACTCTCCAGCTTCATCATGGCATACGTCAGGGGGCTGTGGAGAGTCCGCTCTTTTTCACGAACCTAGCAGAATGGACCCTGGAGGAGACGGCACGGAGGTTTTCTTGGCCTAGGGAGGACCCCCTCCTGAGAGGTCTAAGGATCACAGAGCTAATGTTCGTTGACGACGCGACCTTGTGGCAAACCTCGCTGCCTGATCTCGCCCGAAGAGTCGAACAGTGGATGACGGTGTTGAGGGAGAGCGGGCTTCGGATCAACCTGGGCAAATGCCAGTTGTACTGCTCTCCGCGCAACAGACAAGGGGGGAAACTGGTGGTGAGTGGGACGGAGCTGGTCAGTGACAACCACCTCAACATCATGGGGCTCAGGTTTGTGGTCAATCAAACAACATGTGAAGTTATCTCCACACTCCTCACGAGAGCGAGAGACAAATTCTGGGGGAGTTTCCATCTTCTGGGATCGCGAGCGTCTCTCCATGGCAGACTAAAGATGTTAGAGAGAGTATGTGGAGGAGCTGGGCTCTGGTGCATTGCAGCGTTCTACCCTGAGAAAAACGCTCAACAGGCCCTCAACAGCTTCCAGTTGCAGCTTGTGGTCTTCATGATGGACCTGAAACGAGGCCAGGGTGAGGACTGGCTCACCCACCGCAAGAGAGTGTATAGACTTGCGCGGGAGGCTCTTTGGCGAGGAGGGCACAAGAGATGGTCCACGTTGTGGGCTGAGCGATTCTGGATGTACCAGGGTCATGTCGCACGTGGCATGGCTGCCTCGCCACCCATGGCCTCTAGTCTAGTCTCGCACTTCAGGAATGGGGCATGGTGGAAAGCGGAGCAGCAGAACCCCTACGGTGAGAGGCACACAGGGAAGTTTTATGCTCGGTTCACTCTTGAAGAGGCCGAAATGGATGCAGTGGCAGGTATGGCCTGGAGAGACAAAGCCCAAGACCGTGAAGAATGGCGAGGACTATGCCAGGGGTGGGTCTCTAAGGTTGATGTGCCATGGGCATCGGGGAGACAGACGATGTTACAGGATGCATAGGTTCGTGATGTAGCCAGGCAAAGTGAAGTGTACCTTGAAAGACACTGAGTTGCCCTCAGCTCATGAGCCCCGAGACGTCGGAGTATCCCAGACGCGGCCATGTTTTCTTTTCGTATTCATGCCGGGGGGTGGCCCTTCGTGATGATGCCCCTCCTGCTCTACATACACCTAACTCAAGCGCAAATGCCTCAGGCAGCAGCGCATCACGAAGACTCGGAAGACTGCCAGTCTAGCCCTTCGGGGCTCGGACATGTACAGCGGCTGACTGAGTCCTCGTCGAGTTCATCGAGTTCTATGCAACCGACTCCAGCGCTTTCTAGCGATGATGGTCCGGCGACTAACAGCGACCAGCAGCGAACCAGAGATGTACCTCTTCATGAACAACCTCAAGAAAACTGGATTCGCATGAAGGATGATGCCACCTTTGAGATAGAGCTGCTCTTCAGGCAGCTCGTGCAGGTCCAAGAACAGGACATCGCAGGTGAAATGGCCTGGCGACTCCGCCAACGGTTGGAGAGGCCGAGAGAGGATGAGTTGGAAGACAGGTGCTTCGTGAGCGCAACGGTCCAGGCCATTGATGTCTGTGTCAAATACAGCCTCAGACACAGGCCCAGAGGGGGTGTGGACATCCCGATGGAGTGGAATGACACCGTCTCGATGTTGGAGGCTGGGGTGGTTGAAGCAGCCAAGGCCAGGGTCAGGAACTACCACCGACAGCAGGCTGCAGAAACACACAGAAGGCAGATCCTGCTACAAAGACAACCGCCTGTGCAAGACGAAGATGAGAAGTCCAAGAAAGCGAGGACGACGAGCCCGGGGCCGGACAGCCCTGAGCAAGATGACGTGTCGTCGCTGGTGGCCACCTGGGACGACACCTCTCGAACCCCAAGGACTCCTCGGAGAGTGACACGAAGCAGGGTTACAGTGACGGAAAGTACTGTTTGGCTGACACCGGCTGGAGCGGTTCATGAAGTTCCTCACGAAGCTACGGGACCAGGCCTACACCAGGAACCTGCCACAACGGACGAGGCCATCGATGCGTGGCTTGACATCTTTGGGTTCGTGGAGCCGCCCACAGACAGTCTGCCGACAGTGTTGCCAGAGAGGCTTCAAGAAGACATTCGAAGGATGATCCAGGGGATGTCTGGTAGAGCCATCGGGCTGCTGAGAAGGAGTTTGCCGCTGTGTCTCAATGCGGTCCAAGACGAGGTGCTGGAGCTCCTCAGAACGGACCCTTCGTCCTCCTCCAGGGAGGGGGCTGGGTGTGCGGGTGTTGGACGGCATGAGAACAGAGGCTCCAGGAGCTCCGGGGCGGCCTTGCCGGAAGAGGACAGACCAAGAGCTCGTGGCAGGGAGAGACCGATTGTGAGAAGTCATCCTGGGGCTGGAGGGCATGAAGGACGATCCACCTCCTCGAGGCCCCCTGGGACGGAGACTGCGGACAATGACATGGTGGAGGTTACCGTGGATGACTCAGATCACGATAGCGACAGCACTCTGCGGATGCAGCTGTCGACGTCCTCGCCTGCGACCAACACTATGGGGCGAGTGTCATCGAGACTAGAGAGGGATTGTCTCGAGGCCAAGTCAGGGCATGAGGAGGGCCCAAAAGGGGGTCCGAAAGATCACTCGGATGAAGAAAGTTTGGTACAGACAACAAGGCACTCGGATTCCAGCTCCTCGTCCCCTCCCTCAGCTTCATCGGAGAGCAAAGCCAGCTCCATCGACACCTCGTCATCACAGGACCCTGACGAGAGCCAACAGGTCTGGAATAAACACAGAGGGGGCGAGCCAGGGCCTCGCCACAGTCAAGAGCGGGGCAGAGATGAACACGTGGCAAGGCAGACGTGGTGGATGGACTCCGTGAACGACCTGGTCCGTGGTGGCCCGGGAGATCGTATCAGCAGAAGTGTATGGGAGAGCACGGCAGGGACTATCAGGGCGAGGGAAGACGCGGAGTATGCCAAGTTTGCAGAGGTCCTCCTCAGCCTGCTAGGGGGCCACCTCGACTTCCAGGGCAGGGGCATGGAGCAACGACTTTGGCACATGTACGAGACGGGTGACTTTGGTGAGACGGGGCCGAAATCCAGGAAGCGTCCGTGGAGGGCCAATAACAAGCCCTCCTGGGAGCTACCCCACCCTATGGGGCTCATGGCTGCGCAAATGGTGACAGGGGATCGCTATTGGTGCAGATGTGTGAGACTGGAAAGTGGCGAGATAGTGGCGGTCAGAGATGAGGCCAACACGGATGAGACACGGCCTGCTGAAATGCCAGGGGCTGGAGATGAGGACAAGGAGGATGAAGCCCTCATGCAGACCTCCCTGACGAAGCTCCTGGGTCATCAAAGTAGGACCAGGGTGGTCCTACAGGGACTCAACTTTAGGTTGAGCAACTTGGGCGGGGGCGATGCAACCAGGAGGGCCAAGGCTTTGCTGGTCAGATTGGCCCGCCATTTCCGCATCGAGCAGGACAACCGTGGAGCCCAACCGGAACTCGTACAAGACGCGGAAGCCATCCTAGCAGGGCATATTGACCCCGAGCTGACCCAAGACTTCGGGAACTCGGAGGACTACGCCTTTGTGGAGGGCTGGTGGACTGACCTGGTGGGGGCTCTCAACAGAGACATCCATATGGCCCCGCTTCAGACGATTCAGTGTCTCTCGGAAAAAGAAGTCCAGGAGATTGAGCACGACCAGGAATCCCAGGAGGAGCAGAACATGGCCCAAGAAGAGTGGGAGGAACACATGCGGAGAAAGAAGATGGAGGAGGAGGAAGTGGAGCATACTCCGCAGGTTTCCTCAGCCAGGGAGTATCAGCAGTGGGAAGACTGGGCTATGTGGGATGAGATGCAGACGAAGCCGACGAGGAAGAGGAGATTGCAGGTGGAAATTCGGTGCGGAAGTTCCTCCTCCTCGTCCCGAGCGATGGTTTCCTGTCCGGTGGGTGAGTGGGATGGGATGAGCGAACTCAACATCCGCCTCAGATTGTCGCCAGGGGAAGACGGATCTGAGGTTGCCAACGAAGCGGACAAGCCTAAGACGGTGGCGGACAGTGAGGCGTCGACGCTCCTTGTGGAGGGCATGGATGACGGGGCTGCGAGGCCGCCCGCCTTGCAATCGATGGGTCCTCAAGCTTGGCAAGAGGGTGCGAGCATTCCACCTACAACACTGGATGGGAGCACTGGAAGTAGCATGATGGCAGCCACGTCTGGGGCATCCTTGGGTACGACTCTGTCATGGGGTGGGGCCGGGACTGCGGTGGAGGACACACTGGACCCCGTCACCCTAGCAGAGATCGACGCTTATGCAGAGCAACTTCGTTTGGAATACCGTGAGCAAGCTCGTCGAGGAGATGGGGATGAAGCTGCGGGCTTTGAGGAGTTCCTGGTGACGAAAGCAGAGGGCTTCCTGGGTGATGGAGGAGGTGGGGGTGGCGAACCGGGACATGATGACGATCGTGCGAAGATGAGAGGGGACTATGAGTGATGAGCTTGACTTGGTGGTGGCGAGACAGTTCCTACAAGGAGTGAGGGTGGGTCGTTTAGTGCGAAGCAAGCTGGTAGGAGTTTCCTGAGCTGTGCCGGTGAGTGTCTCCTTCAAAGGGATCGGCCTAGTCGTCAGACATTCCGCGAGGAAAAAGGTCCGGTTAAAAGAAAAAAAAACCCTAAACCGGCACATGAAACTCCCCACCTGTAGTTTCCTTTAACTGAAGGCTGTGTAGGGCGTAGGGGGCGGTATGTTCCGGGCTTTTGGGTTTCGAAGGACTGGGCTGAGAGCTTCCGGGTTTGGGGGGACAGGGCCTTTAGGGCTTAAGGCTTAGGGTTGAGGGTTTGGGGTTTGGGGTTTAGGGTTTATCGGTTTAAGACCTGTGGCTTGTAAGCTTTAGGCCTAGGGCTAAATTGGTTTAGGGCTTCGGACGAAGAAGGTTCAAGGGGTCGAGGAGTTTAGGGTTTAGGGTTTAGGGACTGGTCCGGGGCTTTGGAATTGGCTGGTGCCAGTGCTCCTGGCCTAAATGATTACCAATACTCTTTT